AACTCCCGTCACGCTTTCTCATAAGTAGTTAAACTTCCTCGGCCCAAAATGCGACCCCCTTCCATTAACCACAAATGCGACCCCCTCGTTCGAATAGAGCGAACGGACGGATGGTGGGAAATCAGTTGGGTCGACTGAAGCCGTATCAACTGCTTACACCGAGCCAAAAATGGATGGAATGTCCAGAAAACTCGTTCCGAAATGCCTTCCTCCCAAGGCGGCCTACTTCACTGCTGTTTGGAAAACGGATTTCATTTTCGACCCTGTTGACGGTTTCCTCTTCTTTTTTCTTCATTGACGTTCCACTTCGCTCCTCTGCACTCAGTTCCAATCTTAAAAGTACCCAAACTGGCTTCATCCCTTGCCTTTAAGCTAAATTTGTTGAATGTTTGCCATTGGCTCACAGCAGAAGAAAGAAGAAGGTGAAGGAGTCCAGGCGTATGCAGAGCTAGAGGATATTTGCCCAGCAGATTTAAACGGCAGTCCCATCGCTGAAGTTGTATAAGGCTTGCTATAAGAAAAATAAGTGATCTTGCCCTCAGATAATTTTTTTTCAAAAAAAACCACGTTGAGAACAAGTTGAAGGTAATTTTAATCAATCTCAAATATACTTTCAGGATTTCTCGAGGAAGCTCGACGCAATTGTGGAGACGACAGCGGCGACTTAGCATAGACGTTACTGTCTTTATGGCTTAAACGTAGAAATGCCAGATTAGAATGGCTCGGTCGTTGCGTGCAGTGGAATTGGAACAGTCGCCATGAGTCGTCGGTCATTAGATTCGCGTAGAGTTCATCCGGTTCTCGGAACATATTTGTAATACCTCTTTTGTGAACGGCAAAGGAAACCACTACCAGGCATTCGCCAGGCCTCATGGGAAAGCTCGCCGGCGGCGCGTACGCAGCGCGTGCTACCTGACGTCATAGTGGTGACTAGCGCGGCTAGGGAACGAACGCAGGCAGGTACCACCTGTTGGGTTTCATGCCACCGGTGAGCTTTTCTCATGGCCCATTCCTCCGGGCTACATTAGCCTAATCTAATAGTAGAAAAACAATATATTTCCCTCTGTAAACTGCTTCCCTAGCCTCTTATTTTATGTGTTTAAATGCTGTTGTAGATAACGATTTCATATTTGTCAATGTTGTGCGAAAATATGTTGTTCTTTTTTCCTGGTCTCAACTTCAGCTATCCAAACTGGTCATAATTTGCAGAAGCCCGTGACTCCTAATTCTAGACAGAAGTACTGAATTATAGTACATTTTATCAGAAGTACTGAATAGCACGGTCAAAAGCGGAAAGTATTCACTGTTGTCAACATTCCCCGCCGCAGGAGCGGGCGTTCTTGCGCGCGGCTGCGGCGCGACCTCCTGGAAAATGTCGCTAATGCGCGAAATTTTTTCCCAAGTGGTCACGTCGTCCTTATCCCAAAGTGGTACCTATGAGTTGCGTTCATTACTGTAATTACTGTCTGAATTCACGACTTATGATCCAGACTGGTATAGGACTCATTGTATGCTATAATATTCACGACGCTCCATAAGGTCAGAAGATCTCTTCCACTCAATCTTGTAAGCTCCGTTTGTGCTGTTGCTTTCCGTGGTCGAAATGCGGATGCACGCGGCGGTATGCGATGCGCTAGTATGCGCTTCTGTGGAAAAGAAGATGACAACTGTGTTAAGGAAAAATTCCTACCATTCACCACGCTTCGTGGATTGTATGTTGTGGGGGCTCTGAGACTCCAGCCATATGTAGCCGTCGCTCTAGGCTTTTCCCCGCTCAATACCCCTACCTGCGCACGCGCCGCAGGCCGCCCCGCGTCCAGTGCCCACGAAGTTGCCACAGTGCTTACGAGTCCACGCGATATTTATGATTCTCACTCATTACTGTGATTATTGCATCGGTTCATGTCAAAGATATCATGTTGTTGTTATGTATGTACGCGGTAGTTGCTGTTTATCACTTTATCAGTATGCATCGAATAAAACTCATAAGAAACCAGTAGCGCTGATAATTTATCTTCTTATCACTTATCACATGAAGCAATTTGCATCACAATTCAATCGATTTGTACAAGCCCGCAATATCCCGTCGTCGTCAACGGATGCACACACAGGACTTAAGCCGTTTGGACACGGTGAGCACCCGAAGGAAACGTGAATTATGATGTTTCTGCTGTAGTCACGTACAATGCGCGACGCGTTGACACGCTGAAGTGTGTACAGCTGGGGTGGCCTCATTGTTAGCATAACCTATAGGATTGTTACTGCAGAAATCGCGTCGATGCGACGCGCATGTACGTGACTGCGGCAGGAACATCGTAATTCACGCTTACTTCGGGTGCTCACTCTGTCTAAACGGCTTATCTCCACACACAGACACACGCACACAGAAAATCTGAGGGGGAAAACGAGCGCAACAATAGAAATTATCATTAATCATATCACAACAAGAGGAACAAGAAGAAGACGAATCTAGCAGGCAGAAGTGATGTGTCGATCAATAAATCGATACTCTACGAAGGCGAAGGATTGGCAAAGCGTTTTCTTCAGGCAATAACCGAATGCTACAACTTATGCGCAAAATCTGCTTTACATTGAGACGAGCAGAACAGATGATGATCTTTGAAAATGAATTTCTTCCCGATTAAATCCATTTTGCATTGACGGCAACTGAAAAATGATTAAATGAAAATACGAAAAAAATGAAAAGGAAAAAGGGCGACCAAAAAAAGAACTGAAGAAATGACGAATTTGACGGACTCAAAGAAAAATTCCAAAGAGAAAATAACAAACTGAAAGCATTCCGGCTTGGCGTGCCAGTGATAATCCTGGTAGTTCAGGCGTTTCTCATCAGGACCAATCTTCTGACTACACGTGTCGCAATTCTGTAAATGCTTCCTTATGATTACTAAAAAAATTTAAACTTTTCTGGTAAAATTTAGCACAATTAAAGGAGGACCTCACGAGAAAGTGGAGGTCGAAGAAGGGGAATACAACTACTCGAAAGGAAGGCAGGCCCCTCTGAAGGTCCTCGAGGATGCACCTTTCGCAACTGAGGTACGCTCCTGGCGGCCTAAGGCCGATGTCAGACTTTGCGAATCGCGCGATTCGCTAGCGTCCGCGGTCGCGTTGCGGTACCAGCCAATTGAGTGATTCACTGGCCGCGACGCGACCGCAGACGCTAGCGAATCGCGCGATTCGCAAAGTCTGACATCGGCCTATAGGGCGGTGTCAGACCGGCGACGCTACACTCCCACCGGCTAGCCTACCCGTCGCCGTCTGACTATAGCCGTTCTAGCATATATGTAGAGCGTTGGCTCCGGGAAAATCTGCACCAACGGGAGTCGCCCAACGAAATCCAGAGAACGTAGAGTTTTTGAACTGCAAAATCCACGAACTGTCCCCTCCCTGCCATCGACCATGTTCTCAAGGGATGTGGTACCTTTCAGAATGCTGGCGCTCCAAGAATTG